CCCGCCCCTCCCTGCACCCCGGCGCCGCCGGCCCCCAGGTGGAGCGCGCCCTGCGCGTGCTGGACGGCGCGGTGCTGCTGCTGTGCGGCGTGGGCGGCGTGCAGAGCCAGTCAATCACGGTTGACCGGCAGATGCGGCGCTACAGCGTGAGTGCGCGGTGGAGCCGGATGGGGTGGTGCTGGGGAGGGGGGGTGTTGACGCAGCCTGCCCGACGCCGTGTCGTGTGCACGGGCAGCGCTGTCCTGTCGCAGCAGGGCCCTGAGGCGAGGATTTGAGCAGCACCTCTGCGGGCGTGGGCCGCGACGGGGCAGTCGTGCAGGCCCCTGCCGGCTGCAGGCTGCAGGCTGCAGGCTGCCGTGCGGCGAGGATTGGCGCGCTGCATGCCAGCAGCACCAAGCGAAGCCGCAGCCAGCGCAAAACCGCAAACAAACGCCGTTCACAATTAATGTCCATCCAGGTGCCACGGCTGGTGTTTGTGAACAAGCTCGACCGTGTCGGGGCCGACCCCTGGCGCGTCATCCAGCAGGGCCGCGACAAGCTGCGGCTCAACGCGGCGGCGGTGCAAGTGGGGGCGCAGGGGCTCGGGGCCTCGGGGGCCGCGCGCAGGGCAGGTGGCAGGCAGAGGCCAGGCAGGGCAGCGGCGGGGGGCAGGGCATAGCGTGGCGTCAATGAGGCGAGCCAGCGTCCACATCTTGCACTGCGCGCCCCTCCAGCACGCAGCCGCCGTCCCTCCTTGACCCTTGCCCCTCGTCCCTGCCTCCTCACGCACCCCTGCTCCCGGCGGCCGCCGCGTGCCCCCTGCCAGGTGCCCATCGGGCTTGAGGATTTTCATGAGGGGGTGGTGGACCTGGTGGAGGGCCGCGCAGTGAGGTTCGGCGGGAAGTCCGGCCTCGAGGTGGGCGCTGGGTGTGTCTCAAGGGTGTGAGATCTTGGGGAAAAAGGGAAGGGCAGCAGGCCTTTGCCCGCCGCGGGCAGGGGAGGACGAGGCGAGGTAGCCGTGGCCTGCAGGCGCGCGGGCTAGGGGGGTTGCGGGTACCCTGTGCGCTGCTGCAGCGCGCCGTGGCAATCGTGCAACGCCACCTTGCTGCTGCCGTCCTGGCAGGTGTTGGAGGGCCCGGTGCCTGAGGAAATGAAGGGGGAGGTGGAGGCCAGGAGGTCTGAGCTCATAGAGAGGGTCTCAGAGGTGGGGGGGGCAGCTTGGAGTGGTCTCGTGTTGTGTGTGACCTGGGCAGGATGCGGTCAGATCTGCGTGCGGGTGCCCGGGTTACTGTGCGATCTGGTGTTGAGTTGCAAGAGCGAGGGTATTCCCGGGAGAGATATGGGTCAGCATGAGCTGCTGGCGTGCAGGGCGCGATAAATACGCACCCGAATTGTATGCGAATGTGGGGGCTCAGCAGGGCCGCGCACGCATATACCGCTGTGCTTCTCACGCCGCGCCTTGCACACCACGCCATCACCCCCTGCCAACCCCTACCTTGCCTCACCTCTGGTCAACACGAACCCGCGCTGTCATCGCCCATAAACAAAGGTTGATGACGAGCTGGCTGAGAAGTTCCTGGCGGAGGAGCCCATCACCCCCGCCGCCCTCAAGGCCGCCATCCGCCGCGCCACCCTGGCCAACAAATTCCAGGTGGGGGGCGGCGCCCTGGCAAACAATTTTGCAAGGGGGGCACCGGCTGCCACCTGCGGGGTGCACTCCTCCAGTCCGGCTGCAGGCGGCCGCGAGGGGCCCGCGGGGCCGGACTGGGCTTTAAGGGGATGCGGCGCTTGGAGTGGGGCCGCTCTGCGTGCGAGTGCGACCGACCGCACCATTCAGGCCGCGCGACTTCCATGGTAGACTCATCACAGGCCCAGCTCCCCGACAGCTACCACCCGGGGCGCATGCCCGCCCCTCCCATCCACTCCGCGCCTCCCTGCCCTCACCACCCCACCCCGCGCCCCCTCAAACCACCCCCCCAGCCGGTGTTCATGGGCAGCGCGTTCAAGAACAAGGGGGTGCAGCTGCTGCTGGACGGCGTGGAGGACTACCTGCCCTGCCCCACCGACGTGGTCAACAAGGCCCTTGAC